GGGGGGGGGGGGCATCATCCAACAAGGAGCCATTGGAGACTATTTCCAGAGCCTGCTTCCCAGCCTTGCATAACCTAGACTTCAAGTCTTCCCTTTGGGGCCTCATGGACCCCTGTTTATACCTCCGCCCACAGCCCTAGCTCTTCCTCTCCCCCTATCTGACTTCCTAGCCAGGCTTCCACTGGCAGAGAACCTGGCAAAGAAGCAGCTGGAAAAGACTTCACTTGGCTACCGGATGCCCCTTTCTCTGCAGTTCTAGCCCCACAGGTGGGGTGACACAAGACTTGCCACATTCCTGACCAGTAAACAGTGAGGGTTGAGATTGAGGTGCCAGGTGAGATGGGGAGCCTCTGCTAGGTCACTTGCTCTAAATGGATAGGGAAGTGGCCTCAGGCCATTCCCTGCCTCAGCATGTGTTTCTGAAGAGCCAGGCTGTGTTCCAATGCTTTATTTTGAATTATCCATTCCAAGTTTATTGGCCAGGAAACAGGAATGGGGAAGGCAAAGGACTTGTCTAAGACCACCTATCCAGTAAAGGGGAGAACAAAGATCTAGGCAGTTCCAGCCCCTGGAGGTACATGAGGGGCCCCACACCAGGGAGCAATTTCAGGGGTTGGAAGCACAGTTGAGTAGGAAGGGGCAGTAGAGAGGAAGGAAAGAAAAGGTCCAGAAAGAGTGAGGAGGGGAACAGAACCCTAAAAGCAGAACGCCAGCCCTAGTATTTTTTTTTTTTTTAAATCCTCACCCAAGGATGTTTATTTTTTTATTTTTAAATTTATTGATTTCAGAGAGAGGAAGGGAGAGGGAGAGAGATAGAAACATCAATGATGAGAGTCATTGATTGGCTGCCTCCTACTGGGGATCGAGCCTGAAACCTGGGAATGTGCCCTGACCAGGAATTGAACCTCGATCTCCTGGATCATAGGTCGATGCTCAACCGCTGAGCCGTGCCAGCCAGGCCCGAGGATATTTTTCCCATTGCTTTTGCAGAGAGTAGAAGGGGGGGAGAGAGACAGAGAGAGAACACCGATGTGCCCCAACTGGGGCCGGGGATCAAGCCTGCAGCCCAGGTACGTGCCCTTGGTTGGAACTGAACCCCGGGACCCTTCGGTCCGCGGGGGAAGCTCTAACCGCTGAGCAAACCATCTAGGGCAGCCCTAGTATTTTTTTAACATTACCTGAAATCAACAGCAGGGGGAGCGCTGGCTTTAGAAAAGCCACTCTCCTACGAGTTAAGGGGAATTCACATAAAACAGGAGCAACGGAAAAGTATCAAGGTCAAATCCCATACAAAGTTGCAAGATAAAAGAATGAGGAGCAGAATAACATCCCTGTGATGTGAAAAGCTTACCAGGAAAACAGGCCAAAACTGTAACCTCTTAAAATGAGGTAAGGTGTTAAGGAAACAACAGGAGGCAGGAAAGCAGCAGATCAGAACTGTGAGGAAGCCCAGGCAGTCGGTCTGAACCTGCACCGCTGACCCTTGTAGGGCGCTGCTGGAGCGGGCATCCCCCGAGATTCTCGCCCGGGCAGTGCCCCTAGCGTGCTGTGTGGCCTCGATGACTCATTGTCCGTACTGGGGACTCAGCCACTTAGAGCTACGCTGTCTAATGTGGGATCAACCAACCACTCTGGCTATTGTTTTTTTCAATTACAATTTACATTCAATATTATTTTGTATTCGTTTCAGATGTACACACTTGGCTTTTTTTTCCAAAACAATTTATTGCATCATATTTGGTACCTTCACACTTGACTATTTTAATTAAAATATAAAACTTACATCCTCAGTTACACTAACCGTATTTCAAGTGTGGCCAGTCCAAAGACAGCACAGATTTAGAGTATTTCCACCATTGTAGAAAGTCCTGTTGGGTGCTGCTGAGTTAGAGCGCTTTAACAGGCGCCAGTGGTGGGGACTGTAGCAGCAGGAAAACCTGTGTCCCATCTACAGGGCACAGCTGCTACTTGGCTGTAGCCAGTTTAGCTATGCAGGAATGTAGGGCCTACTAATTCTTCAAGAAAAGCAGGAATTGGGAATTTGTGAAAACTCCCAATTTCTAAATCCCAAAACTGAAATTTTACAGATTATATAGATCAAGTGAAACTTGGGCCTCTCCCTGATTCTGTAATGTCATGGTTCCTGTGGATTTTTCCTGTGCCAGTTCTCCCTCCTTGCTTCCCATTTCTCACTCAGGTTGGAAGCTAGATAAGTGGTGGAGTGGGTGGCTTCAAAATGTCTGACCAGCCCTAGCCAGTTTGGCTCAGTGGTTAGAGTGTCAGCTCATGGACTGAAGGGTTCTGGGTTTGATTCTGGCCAAGGGCACGTACCTGGGTTGCAGGCTTGATCCCTGGCCCCAGTCAGGGCACATGTGGGAGGCAACCAATTGATGTGTCTCTCTCACATCAATGTTTCTCTCTCCCTCTCTCTTTCCCTCCCACTCTTTCTGAAAAGCAATGGAAAAAATATCCTCGTGTGAGGATTGAAAATACTAATACTAATACTAATACTAATAATAATGTCTGACCAAAATCTCAGAAGACAAGTCTTTGAGTTGCTTAGTAAACTTGGTTCCCTTTGTGCGACTCAAAGGTACATGTTGTCCAAAGTCCAAGGCATGCTGAAGGCAGTGATGGGGTTCAGGTAGGAGGTGTGACTTTCTGACCTGGCCAAGGAGTTGCGGGTGGCCACTGACCAGAGAGAAAGGAGAGAAAAGAACCAGAATAATTTGTGCTGTTTCTAATCCAGCTGATTCTACAGGAGCATCCGTTCAGTCCAGGATCCCAGGACTGCTTCAAGCCTGGGTGGGGCTGGAGGAGCAGACAGAGATGATGCAAATTTTCCTGGTCTATAGGCTAACATTTGAATGCTGCTGGGGTCCTCAGGATACCCTGAAGTAAAGGCTGCCTGGCCCTGGAGGAGCCACTGCTCCCCACTGTGCTGGAGAAGGCCAGAGACCGACCTGCACTCACAGCTCCTCCACCGTGGGGCCTGGAGACCCCACGGGGCTCTAAAGCTGATGGGAAGGAGGGAGAGGATCAGCCGAGAGCCCTGGGCAGCTGTGTTGGGTAGTTCTTGGCAGGGGTGAGATCTGGGTGAGCTGTGCTGCCCTGGTGGGAAGAAAAAGCCTCCAGTGGGCATGGGGACAGTGAGGTGTAGAATAGCCTGAGTCGGAGGAGGCAGGGTCCTTTCTCCCATCTCCAGCCAGTTTTCAGGCTCGTGCCCGCCTCGTCCGAGGCCCCCTGTGTTCATCTCGTATCTCCCCACCTGTCTCACTCTCTAGGCTGCCCTGGGCACAGCAGTTACCATGGCAACTGAAGAGTCCGTCATCCGCATCCCCCCATACCACTACATCCATGTGCTGGACCAGAACAGCAATGTGTCCCGTGTGGAGGTTGGGCCAAAGACTTACATCCGGCAGGACAATGAGAGGTTGGTGTCAGGACCGGGCTGCGGGGACGCGGGCTGAGGAGGGCCTGTCAGCCTGGCTGGCACGGCCACCCATCTCTTCTGCGGGTTGGCCCTCGCTGGGGTCACAGGGAGTTTCCTCTCCCATTCGCTACCTCCTTTGGGAGTGGAAGTCTCCTGGGTCCTCACTCCACTTCTCGCCCTCCAACAGGGTCCTGTTTGCCCCCACGCGCATGGTGACCGTCCCCCCACGCCACTACTGCACAGTGGCCAACCCGGTGACCCGGGATGCCGAGGGCTCAGTGCTGTTCGATGTCACAGGGCAAGTACGGCTCCGCCACGCTGACCTGGAGATCCGGCTGGCCCAGGACCCCTTCCCCCTGTACCCAGGGGAGGTACTAGAAAAGGTATCTGACTTGCCTCCCCTCTGCCCACTCCACCTGTCCTGCTACCTCGTCCTTGGGCTCCACCCTGCCTTCTGGAGGGAAAACAGATTGGGACGGGGGGAGGGGAAGGAGGTGGGAGTGCGGTGACATTTCCTGGTTTTCACTAGGGGTAAAATTGATTCATTGCCCCTCCACTGCCTTCCCCAAACACCCCTTCCTCCTCACATGCCCACAACAGACTTGCCCCTTTTGAGAGCTGTCAGCCCATCTCACCTAGTCACCCAGGCTCCAGAGCCTGCTGGAAACTCCTGGCCAGTCTGCCACTGAATGACTTGTGCCAAGAAAAAGCATTTTAATCATAGAAACGGTGCCAGACACTTGTGGTAGTGACAGCAGTGGTGGGCAAGATGGAGTCCAGGGTCAGCCTGTGGTTTTCCCACGGGAAGGCACTGGAGGCCTGCACTTGCAGCCAGGTCCTTGTTCCTGTCTCACTAGGGCCCCGGGCTTGAGCAAATGGGCATCCCGTCTTCCTTTCTATAACTGTCCTGCCTTCACGCCCTTGTCCTTTTATACCCGTTCACTCGGGGTCCCTCTGCTTAGCAGTGCTTCTTGATTGTGGAAGCCCGATAGTGTGACCCAGGGAACCCTGAGACACCCCTGTCCACTTAGATGTAAACACTTTGCAGAAGTGTGTGTGTAGAGATAGAAAGTGGTGAAAAATAATTAGAATGTTGCTTGGTCGGTGTGGCTCAGTGGGTTGAGCGTCATCTCATGCACCAGGAGGTCACCGGTCGATTCTGGTCAGGGCACATGCCTGGGTTGCCGCTCTATCCCCAGTAGGGGGCTCAAAGGAGGCAGCTGATAGATTGATGTTTCTCTCTCTCTCCCTCTCCCTTCCTCACTCTCTCAAAAAATTAATAAAAACATTTAAAAAAAAGAATTAGAATGTCAACCCTTGAGGACTCTGAGTAAAGAGTGTAGGGGTATTCTTTGCATTAGAATAACCTTTATTTAAGTCTGAAACTGTCGAAAGTTGAAAATCACTCATACCCAGGGCCTACCTCAGACCAACTAAATCCCCGGCTGGGTGGGGAGTGATGGGGGTGGGGGACAGTATTTAAAAACTCCCTAGGGTGGAGAGAAAGCTTTCCTCATCCCTGCCTCTGACTCCTGCTTTCCAGCCCATAGCGGCTCAGGCCCTCAAACCCCAGGTGCTCCAACCCAGGAGGGCCCGGCCACCCTCCCTCAGAGCCCAGCCCCTGCGATGATGCTTTTCCACTCTGCCTGCACCACTTCCTTTCTGTCTTCACTAAGGGTGGCCCCAGGCTTGGGCCTCCCTCCTCCCACCCTCCTGTCCTCCTCGGAGCCTCTTTAATGCTCTTGCAATGACCCTGTTAACAACTTGGCCTTCCGGACCTCATCTCTACCCTGCCTCTTTGTTCTACATCAACCCCGCCCAATGCCATGTCCAGTCTGGACTCGGCTCTTCTCCCACCTGCCCCTGCCTCTGAAAATAAACTCCAGCCTCCTTCCTACCGTCAGTCTCCCTTTCCTAGCCCTCCTCTGTTGCCATGTCAGCTCAAGGCTTTTGATCCCATCTTCTGTCCCTCAAATTCTCTTCCTGGCCTTGCTTTCCTACCCCAGCTGAACCTCAGCATTTAACACTTGTGCCCTGGACCTGCAGTGAAACCAGGCCCTGGATCAGTGTTGCCACCTGCCCTTTCTGCACTCGCACCCAGGAGGGGTTTGCTAGCCGTGTGGACAGCCCCACCACCTCAACAGTACCGGACGCAGGGACTAGGTCACGTGGTTCATTCTAACCCAAGCCCTGCTCATCCCTTCTCTTTCTTCCCAACCAGCTTTCTCTCCATTTTTCTCTGTGTGCTGCTATACACCTTTTCCACTCTCTTCCTATTTCCTGCCCTCTCACTCTCCAACAACTTAGCCGCCTACTTAGTTAGAAATTGAGGCCATCTGACAGGATTTGGATTCTCTCCCCTTCCCTTCATGCCTACCCTTACCTGCTTCCTACCTGCTGGAGCCTCCAGGAGGTTCCTCTCCATCAGGTGGACCCAGGAAGACTCATCCTTCTATCTCTTTTTTTTTTTTTTTTTTAATCCTCCCCCGAGGATATTTTTTTCCATTGNAAGACTCATCCTTCTATTTTTTTTTTTTTTTTTTTTTTAATCCTCCCCCGAGGATATTTTTTTCCATTGCTTTTTCAGAGTGAGAGAGAGCAAGAGAGAAACATCAAGGTGAGAGAGACAGGTTGATTGGTTGCCTCCCATATGCACCCTGGGGATCGAGCCTGCAACCAAGGTACGTGCCCTTGGCTGGAATCGAAGCCGGGACCCTCTAGTCCGAGGGCCGACGCTCTAACCACTGAGCAACACCGGCTCATCCTATCTCTTGAAACCTTGCTCCCCACCTAGAACTTCTGTCCCCTGCCTTTAACTTCTTTACTACTGATGCCTTTCTCTTGGCCAGCTAACACACTCTGCCTCTTCCATCCTTCCCTGGCTTTAAAGGCTTGTTTGTGTAAGCTTTTCACCCTAAGGAATGCATTCACAAGGCTGCCGAGTCCTCCCTGCCTTCCATCCCCTGCGGAAGCTCCTGCCCCCAGGGTGCACACTTCCAGAGGGGCCTGTGCATGCACATAGAAGTGCTTCAAAGGACGTATTAGGACCTGTTTGCTAAGGGCTGTCACACTGGCATTTGCCAGTGTCTTTTGAATGAGTTTCTGCATCTTGGTACATAAGTCCTATCTTGTTTAATTGTTGTATGGAATTCCACATGATGTGTAGACGTTCAGTCGTTCCCCTACAGGGTGTCATTTTGGATGTTTCCAGTTTATAAGGGAAAATGGTGTTGCAGTGAATAGCCTGGTCTGCGTGTCCTGTGCATGCTAGGTTTTGTTTTTTAAAGAGTAGAAAGTATTGCTGGGTCCTGCAATACAAAGAGTAGAAAGTATTGCACACCCTACCTTTGTATGCACTTTTATGAATAGCCTGTGAATCTAATGTCTAGCTGTTTACTGCTTTACTTTCCTACTTTGTTGTCAACTTGCCCTTGGTGTTCTCTGCCCTGTTCCTTCACGAGCCCCTGCCCCCACCTCCACTGCATTCCTTGGACAAGGCCCCAAGACATCCAAGCTGCAGGCCCAGCGGACAGGCGTCTGTGTCTCACAGGCCCTCTCAACCACTTCCATTGTTGATCTGCTCTCTTATTAAACCAGTATCTTTACAGTTTGCTCTGTAGATATCTTTTTTCCATCTCCTTGGAGGTGTCCCCTGCCCTCTGCCCTCTCCGCCTTCAGCTTCTGTCCTGAACCTCCTGTGTGCCCTCTCATGCTTTCGTGGTCTGTATTGAAGCCACCCACCCCATACCTTAGCTCGGTGGCCCCTAATGCCTGTAGGAAGCCCCCTCCTGGATGTCCCACAGCCACTTCACACTGGACACCCAAAGAACACCTTCCCTGACCCCCTCATCCGTTCTCCTTTATCCCCAATGTCACTTGGTGATACTACTGTGCACCCAGTCACCCAAGCTGGGAGCCTGCCTGCAAAGGCTTGAGGGACAAACTGGATACAAAGGTGGCAGCCAGGAGACCAACTAAGAAGATATTTCCATCACCCAGGCAAGAGATGTTGGCAGCTTAGGTGAGGGCGGTGGCAGGGATAGGTAGTTAGATGGGATTTGCGATGGAACAGATCGGAAGTGGTCATGGAGGAGGTGTGGGAGGTATACTGGGCCACGTGCTCTTCCCACAATGCCCTCCTCCTCCCACACCCTGATCGAAAGCCAGCTCTTCCTTTGAGCCCCAGTTCAAATGCCACCTTCTCAGGGCTTCCCTAACGTCTCCTTCATCGGAACTTCTGCAACCTCTCTCCCTTGACACTGTGCACAGTCTGCTTGAGAGAATGGTCTGTGTCTACGTCTTATCACCTGCTGGACCTGAAAGTCCGTGAGGACAGGTATGTCCGGCTGCCACCCCAGCCAGCAGAGGGCCATGCACATGTACGGTGCAGAGGAAAGGGCTCGCCAGCGCAGTGAGCCTCCGTCCCTGCCTCCCTCCAACCCAGTGTGTCTCAGCGGGCACAGCAGAGTTACTTGGCCTTCTCTGCCCCAGGGCCACCCAGCTGGAGTAAGGAGCAGCAAGTGGGCTTCACTAAAGACTGAGGTTCAAGTCCTGATTCTGTTCCTTACTTCTTGTGTGACCTCGATCTCTTCCTTAGCCTCTGTGAGCCTCTCTTTCCTTACTTTCCTGCCTCCTTCAGATCAAAGATCACGTGAAGTCCTACTCGTAGAAACACTTCTACAAACTTCAAAAAGGTTTGGCTACTTGTTGCCAGGTCCCCCTTCCTGAAGGAAGGAGATGTGATGACTGGAGTACAATGACTATCGTGTGACCATAAGGCAACCTTGAAAACAAAGGCACATGCTTTATATGTGCCTGTTATAGCAGTTTATACCTTCCCACCTCCTTATATTCCCTAGAGGGCTCCAGTGCACACTAGGCCATGAGATACTCATTTATTCAGCTTTCCAGATATTTCTCCCACATCTCCCATCAAGTCCTCTACCCAGATTCCCGCCTACATTTCTAGTTCAAAACAACTTTAAGCACTTTCTCCAGGAATGTGTGTCCTTGGCTCATCAGCAGTGACTTTCTCTTGCTCTGTCAACTCTTAGACCTTCAGACCAGATGGCTCTGGGACTACCCCTATCTTATACGTCCCGCTCTGGGTCTTATTTTGGGACATATGTAAAGATTGATGCTGTCGCTCTTGACCTTCGAGGTATCAGGTTTAAGTGCTGGGGTCACAGCACTGAGTGCTCCATGACCCCCCTCTTTCCTATTAGGACATCACCCCGCTGCAGGTGGTTCTGCCCAACACTGCACTCCATCTCAAGGCGTTGCTGGATTTTGAGGATAGCAATGGAGACAAGGTAGTCGCAGGAGATGAGTGGCTATTTGAAGGACCTGGTAAGTTCTTTCCGTTGGGCCAGAGTTGGGCTCAGAGGCTCCCTGCCTTCCCATCAAGCCCCGATATCTTCTGACCTTCACCTCTGCCTCATCTCTTCCAAGGCACATATATCCCCCAGAAGGAGGTGGAGGTCATAGAGATCATTCAGGCCACGATCATCAGGCAGAACCAGGCTCTGCGGCTGAGGGCCCGAAAAGAGTGCCGGGACCGGGACGGCAAGGAGAGGGTGACAGGTGGGGCTGTGAAGGAGCATGG